AAGGGAGATTGATAGTTATTTTGTGTTTCTTCCATTTGCGAATAATCGCACCAACTGTTGTCACCTTCTCACCAAGCTGCTTGGCGATGGTCTTGTAGCCCATTCCAGCCTTGTGTAGGTCTACAATCTTGTCCCTGACATTCTTGGAGAGCTCTTTGGTCTTGGCCATGGTGGAGAGTTTGGAATCTGATTGATTGCTTCTGTGGACAGGTGTGGACAGAGTGTGCTCTAATCTCAGCTCGTTACCTGTATAAAAAACACCTTGGAGCCAGAAATCTTTCTGATTGAGAGGGGGGTCAAATACTTATTTCCCTCATTAAAATGCAAATCAATTTATAACATTTTTGACATGCGTTTTTCCTCTCACTGTTCAAATAAACCTACCATTAAAATTATAGACTGATCATTTCTTTGTCAGTGGGCAACCGTACAGAATCAGCAGGGGATCAAATACTTTTTTCCCTCACTGTATATATATATATACACACACACACACACACACATGCTGATTAAGTGCCATTCAAAGGCACTTACATATTTTGCCTTGCCCATTCACCCTCTGAATGGCACACACACAATCCATGTCTCAAGAGGCTTAAAAATCCTTCTTTAACCTGTCTCTTCTCCTTCATCTACACTGATTGAAGTGGATCATAGCTTTCACCTGGATTAACTTGGTCAGTCTGTCATGGAACTAGCAGGTGTTCATAATGTTTTGTACACTCAGTGTATACGGTATATACAGTGAGGAAAAAAAGTATTTAGTCAGCCACCAATTGTGCAAGTTCTACCACTTAAAAAGATGAGAGAGGCCTGTAATTTTCATCATAGGTTCACGTCAACTATGACAGACAAATTGAGAAAAAAAATCCAGAAAATCACATTGTAGGATTTTTTATGAATTTATTTGCAAATTATGGTGGAAAATAAGTATTTGGTCACCTACAAACAAGCAAGATTTCTGGCTCTCACAGACCTGTAACTTCTTCTTTAAGAGGCTCCTCTGTCCTCCACTCGTTATCTGTATTAATGGCACCTGTTTGAACTTGTTATCAGTATAAAAGACACCTGTCCACAACCTCAAACAGTCACACTCCAAACTCCACTATGGCCAAGACCAAAGAGCTGTCAAAGGACACCAGAAACAACATTGTAGACCTGCACCAGGCTGGGAAGACTGAATCTGCAATAGGTAAGCAGCTTGGTTTGAAGAAATCAACTGTGGGAGCAATTATTAGGAAATGGAAGACATACAAGACCACTGATAATCTCCCTCGATCTGGGGCTCCACGCAAGATCTCACCCCGTGGGGTCAAAATGATCACAAGAACGGTGAGCAAAAATCCCAGAACCACATGGGGGGACCTAGTGAATGACCTGCAGAGAGCTGGGACCAAAGTAACAAAGCCTACCATCAGTAACACACTACGCCGCCAGGGACTCAAATCCTGCAGTGCAAGACGTGTCCCCCTGCTTAAGCCAGCACATGTCCAGGCCCGTCTGAAGTTTGCTAGAGTGCATTTGGATGATCCAGAAGAGGATTGGGAGAATGTCATATGGTCAGATGAAACCAAAATAGAACTTTTTGGTAAAAACTCAACACGTCGTGTTTGGAGGACAAAGAATGCTGAGTTGCATCCAAAGAACACCATACCTACTGTGAAGCATGGGGGTGGAAACATCATGCTTTGGGGCTGTTTTTTCTGCAAAGGGACCAGGACGACTGATCCGTGTAAAGGAAAGAATGAATGGGGCCATGTATCGTGAGATTTTGAGTGAAAACCTCCATCCATCAGCTAGGGCATTGAAGATGAAACGTGGCTGGGTCTTTCAGCATGACAATGATCCCAAACACACCGCCCGGGCAACGAAGGAGTGGCTTCGTAAGAAGCATTTCAAGGTCCTGGAGTGGCCTAGCCAGTCTCTAGATCTCAACCCCATAGAACATCTTTGGAGGGAGTTGAAAGTCTGTGTTGCCCAGCGACAGCCCCAAAACATCACTGCTCTAGAGGAGATCTGCATGGAGGAATGGGCCAAAATACCAGCAACAGTGTGTGAAAACCTTGTGAAGACTTACAGAAAACGTTTGACCTGGTCATACAAGAATCAGAAAACTTTTTATTCAAATATATACCACCAACAATAATGCATACCGTGAACTATTTCCTTCTCATTGAATAGTTTTTTAAAATTCACTGCTCTCTCTCTATGTTAAGTGGAGACCAGAATGGTGGCTGAATAATCAATTTTGGGATAAATTCAAAATATAAAGCAAGCACTTGAAAAGATTTACTGAGTTATCATAGAAATAAGTCAATTGGAAATTCATTAGGCCCTAATTATGGATTTCACATGACTGGGGAAATACAGAATATGCATTTGTTGGTCACATATACCTTTAAAAAAAGGTAGGGGTGTGGATCAGAAAACCAGTCAGTATTTGGTGTAACCACCATTTTCCTCATGCAGTGCAACATCTCCTTCGCATAGAGTTGATCAGGCTGTTGATTGTGGCCTGTGGAATGTTGTCCAACTCCTCTTCAATGGCTGGGCAAAGTTGCTGGATATTGGCGGGAACTAGAACACGCTGTCGTACACGTCGATCCAGAGCATGCAGGCCTTGGAAGAACTGGGACATTTTCAGCTTCCAGGAATTGTGTACTGATCCTTTTAACATGGGGCCGTGCATTATCATGCTGAAACATGAGGTGATGGCGGTGGATGAATGGCACGACAACGGGCCTCAGGATCTCGGGAACGGTATCTCTGTGCATTCAAATTGCCATTGATAAAATGCAATTGTGTTTGTTGTCCGTAGCTTATGCCTGCCCACACCATAACCCCACCATGGGGCACTCTGTTCACAACGTTGACATCAGCAAACCGCTCGCCCACACAACGCCATACACGTGGTCTGCGATTGTGAGGCCTGTTTGGCATACTGCCAAATTCTCTTAAATGATGGAGGTGGCTTATGGTAGAGAAATTAACATTACATTCTCTGGCAACAGCTCTGGTGGACATTCTTGCAGTCAGCATGCCAATTGCACGCTCCCTCAAAACTTGAGACATCTGTGGCATTGTGTTGTGTGACAAAACTGCACATTTTAGAGTGGGCTTTTATTGTGCCCAGCACAAGGTGCACCTGTGTAGTGATCATGCTGTTTAATCAGCTTCTTGCTATGCCTCACCGGTCAGGTGGATAGATTATCTTGGCAAAGGAGAAATGCTCACTAACAGTGATGTAAACCAATTTGTGCACAATATTTTTGAGAAATAAGCTTTTTGTGCATATGGAAAATATCTGGGATTTGTTATTTCAGCTCATGAAACCAACACTTTACATGTTGCGTTTATATTTTTGTTCAGTGTATATGGTAAAAAACACCCTATTTCCCATTCTCTTAATAAATATATAGACATTAAAGATGCAGTCCGGGATATTAAGCACTTAACATATCATACGAAAACAAATGTCAAGCATTTTTGTTGTTGTTGCAGGATGTAACATATTATATGAAATGGATGACATAGTCGACAATTTCCAGGAACCCGTTTTGGCTCGTGAGCACTACTTTTAAAACTACTGGCTGAAATTATACAAAAGCTCTGGAGCATCACTTTGTTACTCTGGTACAAAGAGGAGCTGTGAAGGTACACATGGAAAATAAATTCCCACACATTTTCAAATGGACACAAATATCATGTTATCACATTATTACTGTGTCTGATAAGAAAGGGAAAATCTGTCCATCTGAATGTGTTTGAGCTTCAATCACTGACTTATTGCACTTCCTATGTACTAATAGTCTAATAGTCTGAACCACAGGAGGTTGGTGGCACCTTAATTGGGGAGAACAGGCTCGTGGTAATGACAGGAGTGGAATCAGTGGAATGGTATCAAATACATCAAACACATGGTTTCCAGGTGTTCAATGCCATTCCATTTGCTCTGTTCTGGCCATTATTATGAGCCGTTCTCCCCTCAGCAGCCCTCCACATAGCTGAATGAGTGAAGGGTTGATAATTATTTTCTTATTATTATTTTTAGACATGTAATACTTATGAAGAGGCTAAATGCTAAAGCAGTATGAGGGAAATTTTCTGCTCTCCATTCTATTCAGAAATCCATATGACACACACATACATTACATGCTCATACTCAAAACACACATACAGTAGCAACAAACACAGATTATATCATACTAACTGCCAGACTGTGGTAGCGTGTACATTACATACATACTAAATACTGCCAGGATGTTTAGTATCAATACAGTGAGTAAGCCAACCAGGCCACTCCACTCTCTCTATTTACAATACGCGTTTGCACTCACTTTGTGTGCTAAATATCCTAATAGATATCCTAATTTAATAGATTAAGTACTATGGCTTTCCGAGGGTCATCACTAGTTACCACAGCCACAGTCATAATTATGGCTAAACCCCCACCTGTTTCTACAATTTATCTTCTTAAAAATCAGATTTAAAACCTAACCACACTGCTAACCTTATTCCTAACCCTAACCACACTGCTAACCTTATTCCTAACCTTAACCACACTGCTAACCTTATTCCTAACCCTAACCACACTGCTAACCTTATTCCTAACCCTAACCACACTGCTAACCTTATTCCTAACCCTAACCTTAAATTAAGACCAAAAAGCTACATTTTAGTTTTCTTTTTTACAATATAGCCAATTTTGACTTTGTGGCAACTAGTGACAACCCTTTCCAAGGGGCAGATAAAATGCAACCTGAGGCATAAGGATAGCTAGCCTGGTCCCAGTTGTGTTTGTACTGTCTTGTCTTGTTTGACATGACAATCCCCACGTGAATTGGCAACACAGACCAAACAGATCAAGGACCAGGCTAAAGTATTGCATACATCTCCAGATCACTCTCCTATGATGCTAATGGAAAAAGCAATGCAATTAGCCTGATGCTCTCACTTATTCCATGTACAACACAAAGATACTGAGAGACATGCCACACAAATAACAAAGATTGTCAAATGGCCTTAGCATAACTATAAGACATAGCTATAAGGGCTTCTTGTCAGACTCAATTCTTAAATACAAAAGTATCATAAATGTTTCAAAAGTCTACATAAAGCCATCAACACAATGGCATCATGACAATAGAGCAGTGGCTTTGTAACTTGGATTAGTGACATCACAAATAAAGAAGAACACGGTCTCTCAGACCGGTGGACAGTTTAAGCCTGGTCCCAGATCTGTCTATGCTGTCTCGAAACCGCAATGATCATTGGCATGCCTAACAACAAATCTGGGACCAGGCTAGTGGACTGTAGATATGGCTAATGTCTGAGACATTTATCCATGTTCGGTGCCTGGGCCAATGCCATGTGTATGTGTAAACTAAGAGTCATTTACAACAACTTTACAAGCTGCCCTATGTCCACACTCTTTGTGGACTGGGCGGTGATAGTGTCAATCACTCCCCACCCCTCCTTTTGGGCCAATCAGATTTCAGTCAGGGTGAGTTTATAAACGCCCCCTAGCTCCTCCATAGAGATCTGGAAGGTGTCTTCGTTGGAATAGTGCTTGATGATGTTGTCATCCATGTTGACTAGAATCCTAATAGAGGGACAGATAGGAATGTCAGTAGTAATATAATCTAGTCATTCAATTTCTATGGTCAGAATCTTATGTTGTGTAAAATATATGAAAGGCCTGGTTCTTCACAAATATAGCTTTTACTTGTTGTAGAATGATCTTAAATCATGGTAAATAGATTTACCATTGATGAGAACAACTTACCCTTTCTTGCATTTCTTGTAGACTTTCCCCACTTTCTCGAGCGGCACGTTGTACTTCTCTGATAACTAGAAGAAGCGGAGCAACAAAGGCTTGTTATACAGTAGTCTCTCTTTCGAAAGAAGAGAATGGAAATTAAATATACAGTAGACCACCCTAACAATTACTCAGGTCGATTGGCAGACATTAAACAGAAGCCAAATTCAACCAGGAAAGAAAAGAGACGTGTGTGCGGTTTCTTTGCCCCCATTTGCTCCCCAGCTGTCCAGCTGCCCACACTCCCCTCCCCGAGAAACTAAGAGGCCAGGTCCAGTCCTGTCACAACTCATTTGGCCTGTTATGGAGGCAGTCGGGGACCCATGTCGAGTTTCCCCACAGCCCCATTTCCCCTGCTGAGGGATGTCCCCTGTCCACTTTGTCTTAGTGCACTAGGCCAGACAGACAAACCCCCCCGTGACGGGAAGGCTGAATGACTACACGGAGAAGCGGAGACCCTACACATGGTCATGCCTCTGTCCTCCTGTCCTCCTTTAGCATCCCCCTTTCTCATTCTCTCTCCCAGTCTTTCCCTCTATTTCATTTTGAGGAAAGAGTTGAGGTCATAGCTCTCCCTCTCTCTCATGCTGGGTTGAATTAGGATCAAGCTGAGAGAGACAGATAGTGGACATGGGTAATTGCAGGGTAGAGGAGTCTGTGTGGCAGAGTGGGCCGTGTCACAAACAGTGCCACCCACACTAGTGTCACTGGAGTGATGCAATGTGACCAGCCTCCCATAACGGTCACCATATGTCTGGCAGTGTTCATTTCCTATTTATATTTAGTAAGAACTTACTGCTTCCACCAGGCCTTTCATTGTTGGGTTCTTCAGCATGACCGCGTCAAACACCTCCTCTGTCTCCCTACGCACGTACAGCAGAACTACACAGGAGAGAGGAGGCGTGCAGTGAGACATATTGATCACTCATACACACACAGACACACTCAAATGGTCATTGCAGGACACACACCCCGAATCACACAACACATTAACTTCGCAAGGTCAGATATATTTTCTGCTGAAGTTAATAGTGGTGAGGCCCTTGAAGTGGGTTTGGACCTCTGAGCTTCTCACTATGTCCCGGTCTCAAGTGGCCAATACCTCACACAGTGTTCTATCAGATCTGGCACAGTAACACACAAATGCTACGGAGTTACAGTTCATATAAGGAAAATCAGTCAATTGAAATAAATTCATTAGGCTCTAATCTATTGATTTCACCTGACTGGGAATACAGATATGCATCTGTTGGTCACAGATACATAAAAAAAAAGGTAGGGGCGTGGATCAGAAAACCAGTCAGTATTTGGTGTGACAACCATTTGCCTCATGCAGCCACATCTCCTTCGCATAGAGTTGATCAGGCTGTTGATTGTGGCCTGTGGAATGTTGTCCCACTCCTCTTCAATGGTTGTGCAAAGTTGCTGGTTATTGGTGGGAACTGGAACACGCTGTCGTACACGTCGATCCAGAGCCTCCCAACATGCTTAATGGGTGACATCTGGTGAGTATGGAGGCCATGGAAGAACTGGGACATTTCCAGGTTCCAGGAATTGTGTACAGATCCTTGCGACATGGAGCCGTGCATTATCATGCTGAAACATGAGGTGATGTTGGCAGATGAATGGCAAGACAATTGGCCTCAGGATCTCGTGTTTCTGTGCATTCAAATTGCCATCTATAAAATGCACAGTGTTCGTTGTCCGTAGCTTATGCCTGCCCATACCATAACCCCACCGCCACCATGGGGCACTCTGTTCACAACGTTGACATCAGCAAACCGCTCGCCCACACAACGTCATACACACGGTCTGCCATCTGCCCGGTACAGTTGAAACCGGGATTAATCCGTGAAAAGCACATTTCTCCAGCGTGCCAGTAGCCATCGAAGGTGAGCATTTGTCCACTGAAGTCGGTTACGACGCCGAACTGCAGTCAGGTCAAGACCCTTGTGAGGATGACGAGAACGGAGATGAGCTTCCCTGAGACAGTTTCTGATAATATGTGCAGACATTCTTCAGTTGTGCAAATCCAGATTTTCATCAGCTGTCCGGATGGCTTGTCTCAGACCATCCCGCAGGTGAAGAAGCCGGATGTGGAGGTCCTGGGCTGGCGTGGTTACAAGTGGTCTGCAGTTGTGAGGCCGGTTGGACGTACAGCCAAATTCTCTTGAGGCGGCTTGTGGTAGAGAAATAAACATTACATTCTCTGGCAACTGCTCTGGTGGACATTCTTGCAGTCAGCATGCCAATTGCACACTCCCTCAAAACTTGAGACATCTGTGGTATTGATTTGTGTGACAAAACTGCACATTTTAGAATGGCCTTTTATTGTCCACAGTACAAGGTGCACCTGTGTAATGATCATGTTGTTTAATCAGCTTTTTGTGCATATGGAACATTTCTGGGATCTTTTATTTCAGTTCATGAAACATGGAACCAACACTTTACATGTTGCGTTTATATTTTTCTTCAGTATACATGTACATACTACCTCAACTATCTCGTGCCCACATTTACTTGGTACCGGTACTCCTTGTATATAGTCTCGTTATTTTATTACTATTTAATTTTTTATTTTCATGGTAAAGTCTACACCTGTTGTATTCGGCGCATGTGACAAATATAATTTGATTTGGTTCCTTGGAAGTTGTGGGATAGTATGTTGTTGGTTTGACATTGATTGTGGGAACGAAGCCATACGTTTTTTAAACATTCTGAAAACAGAAGTGAAAATGTTGCCTGTTCTGGGAACATTTATTTTTAGGTTGCAGGGAGGTTCTGAGAGGTTCCTTGAAAGTTTTCCTAAGAGGTTTCATTAATGCTTTGAGAATGGAAATTGTAGGTTATTTATTACAAAATAATCTGAAACACAACCAAAACAAACAGCAAATGCATCCAACAATGTTTGTAGAGTCACAAGCTTGATGTAAGCATTGCGTGCTATGAATATGGGGCCAAATACTAGACTTTTGACAACTTTAATACACATAAGTGAATTTGTCCCAATACTTTTGGTCCTAAAAAAATGGGGGTTATGTACAAAAAGTGCTGTAATTTCTAAACTGTTCACCCGATATGGATGGAAATGCCCTCAAATTAAAGATGACAGTTTGCACTAACTTCAAAATCATTGTATCATTTCAAATCCATAGTGCTGGAGTACAGAGCCAAAACAAAAAAAAATGGTTCACTCTCCCAATACTTTTGGAGCTCACTGTATGTGCAATTTTCGGGGAACATTTTTGGCACGTAGACGCTACTTTCAGAACTACTGGCTAAAAAGTATACAAAAGTACCAGAGAGTCTCTTTAAAATACATGTATTTTGTATTTAAAAATACAAAACTACATTAGCAATTAGCCCTGATGACACTATAGTGTCATCAGACTTCTGATAACAATGCAGACTAAAAAGGGGCTACAAAATTGTGAACCACTATAAAAAAAAGTATAGGAATGTTTTTTGTATTTTGAAAATTGGATTGTAGTAGGCAAATGAAATATAAATTACAAAATAGTCAAAGGTAGTTGAAATACACATTTCAAATACATTTAACAGAAATACTGCCCAGCTCTCTGAGTGTGTGTGTGTGTGTGTTTGCATGTGTGTTCATGTGTGTTCATATGCTGATGAAGGATGAAGAGCGTGTCCTTGTGTGTGAATTGTGTGAGAGAGGTGAGAATGAACAATGATATTGTGTTATTCACTGGGGGAGGGGGGATGCGGCACGTGTTTTCAGGGGCTGGGTAAATATGGAATCACGTGCCTCACATCTATGGGCAAGGTGTGTGTGTGTGTGTGTGTGTGTGTTGGGGTATTGGTGGCCTTCAAGGCAAGCCATAACACACACACACACTCCTCCCTCTCTGGTTTCGTGATAAACAGTGACCTTATCAGTAGTGTATACACAGTGCATTGGTGGGCAGGCACACACACCTTTCTTGGGCTTGTCCATTCTAGCCAGCTTATTGGAAGGTGAACCAAACTCATCCTGGGCGTAGAGCGATCTCTTCATGCCCGAACTGCAACGGACACACATGACAGGTTGGTTTAGAGCGCTTATGCACACATACACACTCACGCATGCGCACGCACACGCATACACTCCTGTTACGCCTGTGAGGCCCTCTCCCAGAGAAATAGCAGGAAGGCCTTAACAACCCTAACAACAACCCTAACAACCACCCTAACAACAACCCTAACAACCACCCTAACAACTACATAATAGAGCATGACACAAACAACTCTCAGCGTCTTTCCTAGAAGTTTAGAAGCTTCACGTGAAACGGGGCTTTCACTGGTGGAGCTAAAGGTTGAAACTGGAAGAGCTAAAGGTTGAAACAGGAAGAGCTAAAGGTTGAAACAGGAAGAGCTAAAGGTTGAAACAGGAAGAGCTAAAGGTTGAAACTGGAAGAGCTAAAGGTTGAAACTGGAAGAGCTAAAGGTTGAAACAGGAAGAGCTAAAGGTTGAAACTGGAAGAGCTAAAGGTTGAAACTGGAAGAGCTAAAGGTTGAAACTGGAAGAGCTAAAGGTTGAAACAGGAAGAGCTAAAGGTTGAAACTGGAAGAGCTAAAGGTTGAAACTGGAAGAGCTAAAGGTTGAAACTGGAAGAGCTAAAGGTTGAAACTGGAAGAGCTAAAGGTTGTCTCGGTCCAACAGCAACCATATAAGTGGCCATACTTTATTTACTCCAGCCATTTTCCATCTACTTGTCCAAGAAAACCAATTAGCGTGAAATCAATGTTTCCAGGAACTCACCTTTCCTCTCCATCTTCTTGTGAGAAGGGCTGCATGGAGAAAGAGAGAGAATAGAGAAAGAGGGAAGGGAATAAAATGGGTCAAGGGTGAAAAGACAGTCATACATCTGAAAGAGGTCATTTAATCTAATACGGAATAGGTCTATTGGACTTCGTGGGCCGTGTCAACAATCCTAAGAGACCTCTTGAATCAAAACTGATGACAGTGTTTTGGATATGATTTAAATATTTTCCCTGAACATGAGAGTATGCTTTAATTTATTACTGTAATATGCAGTTCAGATTATTTTGAGTAACACTTTCGGTTCATAAATCCTAAAGAAGGCCATTCATGCAGCACAAGATGAGTGCAACCTGGTTAGAAGGATACATTTAATTGGCCCACTAGCCTTCTGACCTGATTTCCATACGTTAATTGTCTCATCAATGCTAAACACATTCACAGGTAACAGAGTGCAGTCGTGTGTAACTAAGCAGTATCCATATTTTAGGAGGAATTGTGGTATGTATAATCATGTTGTTAGTGTATACTACTCCACTATGTAGTTGAGGAGCGCGCACTAACCACCTGGACCAGACCAAATCAATAGTCTATTCTCAGAGGAAACCAAGTCCCCATGCTAATCACTAACTGATTCACTGGGTTGCCATTTTCTGCCAATTGTGTGTCAAAATAAATGTTTTCCTTCCAGGCTGGATCAGAATGGTAAACAGCAAAGGTTTATTTTGAGCTCAGTCCACCCTGCAGGTCAGCAACGCCATGTGGCCCAGAAACCAGAGACCTCAGTGGGCTCAGCTGGGTCAGGTTCATTAGGCACCAAACGGACTGAAACAGGGAGGGACTACCTGGACACTCATTTTAGTTTTCTGTTGCAATAATATTTTCAAACATGTAAACCTAATGAACAGACCCTGGTGCCACTGTGGCCAACAGGGGGCAGTCAAAGTTCACTTTCTACAGAGCCACAGGGATTAATCAAAACAACACTGTCTGCCCATCTTCCAAGTCTAGGGAAAATGGTTCACTCTAGGCTTCCTGCAACCACCCATAGGGCCATGTGATGTCACACTGCTAGGCCAAGGAGGGTTCAGAGTCCAGGGGTGGCTAGGAACACTGCTAGTGCCAATGAGTAATGAAGAGAGAGACCTGACATACCACACGTAGACAGACAGCGCTACACTACCCTTACAAGTGCAACAGGTGCAGTCTACTCTAGACATACTGCATTAGGTTCCTTATTAAGAAACCACTGGGCTTCCATAATCAATTATATAGAAATGATGAGATATGCATGCATACGAGAGTGATTCCAAACATGTTTTGAAGCACCATGTAAGATCATTTGGCTCGCACACCTATAAACCTTGGGATCTCTCCCAAGGCCATCTCCACCTATCAGATGGCACTGGAACCTCCCCGGTTATATAACCTCCCCGGTTATATAACCTCCCGAGTGGCGCAGCGGTCTAAGGCACTGCATCTCAGTGCTTGAGGCGTCACTACAGACCCCCTGGTTCGATTCCAGGCTGTATCACAACTGGCCGTGATTGGGAGTCCCATAGGGCCGCGCACAATTGGCCCAGCGTTGTCCGGGTTTGGCCGGTGTAGGCTGTCAATGTAAATAAGAATTTGTTCTTAACTGACTTGCCTAGTTAATTAAATAAAAAATAACCAACCAATGAAATTACAGGACTACAGTGTCCTGGCCAACAGGTAGGTCTACACTGTGTGTTTTAGTCACCTTGACCTGCACCTTGTCCTGAGTAGGAGTTGAAACTGTTTACCAGCCGGGAACCACATGAGATGTGACCCACATCTTACCGTATTAGTCAACCAAAACAAACTCTATGGCTGCGTCCCAAATGGCACCCTATTCCCTATATAGTGCACAACTTTTTAGTCCTGGTCAAAAGTAGTGCACTATATATGAAATAGATGCACTACTTTTGACTAAGGCCCATACGGCAATGGTCAACAGTAGTGTACTACACTACATAGTAAATAGTGTGCCATTTGGGACAAACCCTCTGACAAAGTGACAATGACATTGGCCAGGCACTAGGCGACTACTCTGTTCTTTCTAATAGGCTCTTAAAAACAGAAATAGCTGCTTGTCCATGGTGATCATATATACATCCCAGAGAATACCACTCTCCGAGCGGCGACCGCCAGAGTGTGGTGCCTGGAACCCGTCTTCAGACTGCCACCTTGGCCCAACCAGCTGGAGGAATGACTGTTATGAGGAGTGCTGGGCTGGCTATACAGGGCTATAACATGGCATAGACATAACACATCCCCCTATGTAGGGTTCCAAAATAAACTTCTGTAATTTCAACCAGGATTTCTGGAAAACCTGGGAATTTTTGGGAACATTTAGGACATTTCTTAACTCTGATCGTACATAATGCACTGCGGATCCTCTCAAAATCATTGGACATCAATGGTGTTTAGGGCTTAGACTTCAAACACTAGGGTTTGGTCACTAACTCATCTATTAACAATAGGCAAAAGCCCCTACACCCTAAAGTAAAATAGCCTTAGGGGATATCCACCCACTAAATAACTCCTGGTATTTAGTGAAGGACTGTCAGAATGAGTGGCTCTTTAGAAGTCTGAAAGAGACATGGAGGGGGTGGACTGGATGCTTTGGTAGTCAGAGGCTGGTTGGAGTTGCATTCAAATGCCCTTTGATAAGGTTTGCATGATTGAATCTGCACCAAGTACTGTATATTATCTTAGTAGGTATAACTACTATGTTATCTAAATGCATGGCTGTTGTGGTCCACTTGTGCAACTATACGTAGATCAAAACAATGGACAATTCTCTTTTTAAATTTATTTTGCGGAATCCACTCAAAAAAGGGTTGGGGTTTATCATTTTGTTCCAATGAATCTGATAACAGCCTTATCACCACACCTACACTATACCAGGAAAACCAAACAGATTTATTTTATATCAGTTTGAATGTCACCGGTACCGTTGATTAATATGATTTATGTGGTAGCTATACGCTGCATAACCCTGTCTTCTGTGACCTGGCCCAGAATGCTGACCCTGTCAAGGCCGGATAGAAGTTGCCCTTAGGCACAGATCTAGGATCAGCTTACCCTCCCCCAATCCTAACCTTAACCTTTAGAGGGTAAAATGCTAAACTGACCACAGATCAGTGTTTAGGGGCTTGGTACTCACATGGCGCTGGACGATGGAGAAGTGGATGTCAGGGATAAAGAGAACCGGCTGGGTCTCAAAGTCAATCATCATCTTAAAGGTTGTGACATCATTATGCTTCTGAAGGAGAGGGACTTTAACGTCCACATCTATGGAGGGGCAAAAATGACAAATAATTAGACTTGTTGGTGTGTATCATTGCAAGAATAGATAATATTATTGTGTGTGATCACAAAAAATATAATTGTGTCATGAGCATAATATGTGCACGTATACGCATGTTTTGACTGTGTGTGTGTGTGTGTGTGTGTGTACGTGCGTCCTTGCCCCTCTGTGAGTATGTCCATGTCTGTGTGTCTGTGCTCAGTGGACACTCACATGAACCCAGACTGGTGTTGAGGTCGGTGCACTTGCCCTTCCTACGGGACTGTTTCTTCTCCTCGTCTCTGATTTTCCTCTCAGCTCCCTTGTCACAAAACACCTTGATCTGGCAGAAGGCCCGGTGGATGGGCTTGTTGCTGCGGTTGTTGTAGCTGTAGGTGTCTATCTGCAGGTTCAGGGGCAGGCCCTTTACACCCTTCTGGGAGGAGAAGTCTGTGCTCAGACAGTTGACCGAGATGAAGATCTGAGGAGGAGGAAAATGAGGAAGAGGATGATGAAGGCAGAAGAGGAGGAGCAAGATTTATGATGTTGTTTTTTGAATTTTGTTTGTGGAGTAATTCAGGTACATTAAAACCGTGCATAGCAACACATACCATGCAAATTGCAATTACACTGAATTACATATGAGGTGGTTCCTGACTGGCTCATAGGAGGATGGGGGTGGACAGAAGGGAGGATATATAGACAAAAAGATGGGTTCCATTGCCTCTATGTTAAACACTATAGTGATTGTGCACAATGTAAGGTATCTTACACTTAAGGCATACACCCTGTTTATATATTCTGGAGACAGATTAGATAGATAGATTAGATAGATTACATATACACAGTATATATACAGTGGGGAAAAAAAGTATTTAGTCAGCCACCAATTGTGCAAGTTCTCCCACTTAAAAAGATGAGAGAGGCCTGTAATTTTCATCATAGGTACACGTCAACTATGACAGATAAATTGAGGAAAAAAATCCAGAAAATCACATTGTAGGATATTTAATGAATTTATTTGCAAATTATGGTGGAAAATAAGTATTTGGTCACCGACAAACAAGCAAGATTTCTGGCTCTCACAGACCTGTAACTTCTTCTTTAAGAGGCTCCTCTGTCCTCCACTCGTTACCTGTATTAATGGCACCTGTTTGAACTTGTTATCAGTATAAAAGACACCTGTCCACAACCTCAAACAGTCACACTCCAAACTCCACTATGGCCATGACCAAAGAGCTGTCAAAGGACACCAGAAACAAAATTGTAGACCTGCACCAGGTTGGGAAGACTGAATCAGCAATAGGTAAGCAGCTTGGTTTGAAGAAATCCACTGTGGGAGCAATTATTAGGAAATGGAAGACATACAAGACCACTGATAATCTCCCTCGATCTGGGGCTCCACGCAAGATCTCACCCCGTGGGGTCAAAATGATCACAAGAACGGTGAGCAAAAATCCCAGAACCACACGGGAGGACCAGTGAATGACCTGCAGAGAGCTGGGACCAAAGTAACAAAGCCTACCATCAGTAACACACTACGCCGCCAGGGACTCAAATCCTGCAGTGCCAGACGTGTCCCCCTGCTTAAGCCAGTACATGTCCAGGCCCGTCTGAAGTTTGCTAGAGTGCATTTGGATGATCCAGAAGAGGATTGGGAGAATGTCATATGGTCAGATGAAACCAAAATAGAACTTTTTGGTAAAAACTCAACTCGTCGTGTTTGGAGGACAAAGAATGCTGAGTTGCATCCAAAGAACACCATACCTACTGTGAAGCATGGGGGTGGAAACATCATGCTTTGGGGCTGTTTTTCTGCAAAGGGACCAGCCGACTGATCCGTGTAAAGGAAAGAATGAATGGGGCCATGTATCGTGAGATTTTGAGTGAAAACCTCCTTCCATCAGCAAAGGCATTGAAGATGAAACGTAGCTGGGTCTTTCAGCATGACAATGATCCCAAACACACCGCCCGGGCAACGAAGGAGTGGCTTTGTAAGAAGCATTTCAAGGTCCTGGAGTGGCCTAGCCAGTCTCCAGATCTCAACCCCATAGAAAATCTTTGGAGGGAGTTGAAAGTCCGTGTTGCCCAGCGACAGCCCCAAAACATCACTGCTCTAGAGGAGATCTGCATGGAGGAATGGGCCAAAATACCATCAACAGTGTGTGAAAACCTTGTGAAGACTTACAGAAAACGTTTGACCTGTGTCATTGCCAACAAAGGGTATATAACAAAGTATTGAGAAACTTTTGTTATTGACCAAATACTTATTTTCCACCATAATTTGCAAATAAATTCATTACAAATCCTCCAATGTGATTTTCTGGAAAAAAAATCTCATTTTGTCTGTCATAGTTGACGTGTACCTATGATGAAAATTACAGGCGTCTCTCATCTTTTTTAAGTGGGACAACTTGCACAATTGGTGGCTGACTAAATACTTTTTTTCCCCACTGTATATATATATGCAACATTGGGAAAATGTTGATTCTATTCTTTGTCATTGACTGATGTTCCATGCACAATAAATTAGATAATATTTATTCAAGAGCATTCCCACTGGTTCCACTCCCACTGAATTCTCAGGAGCAAAAAGATCTCTTTGTCTGGTTCCTTGTTAATGTACATGCTGTCTTCACTGAACTGGTGTGTGTCTCCCTCTTTTGGCAGACAGTGGTAATTACATGTTGACTCTTGGTTCTACTGCCAACCACTAAAACAAGGTTCCAGAAAGCTATTTCAATACATCGCTTTCTAGAGAAAAAACTATTTAAATATGCTTACTTAATATTATAACCACTAAAAAAAATAAAAAAATACTGAAAAACCTTTACTGCAAGTTGCACAGATTTCATGTAGTTAGACTGAACTGTTAATTTATTGGTATAGTCACATAGTAACTATTCAGTAACTAGTTTTTGCTGTTCATTTTAAGCAGAATCTAACTAGTTTTCTAAATTAGATCCTTGGTTTAATCAAATAGTTACTTACCACTTTGGGTAACCAGCAGGCTATGTGGCTAACTTCATGTAAAGTCATGTATGGCGCAACATAGTCTCATGAGCTATACAGTTATGTTCCATTTCAACGTTTTTGCAATTGCTCATCTTCAGTAAAGATGATCTCATCGTGTAATGCTCCATTCTCATGATCATAGCAGAGTGTTCTGTCAAGAAGCCCAAATCGTGTCAACATTTGCGAAAGGCTGCTCCTACTCTGACTTGTTTCATTTCTGCCTTCCGACTAAACTGTGTGTGCCTAAGTTATTCAATCATCAGGGGGTACAGCAAGAGGAGGTGAAGCATATTTCACACACACACACACAAACATCCTTAGCGTGACACCTTACACCTGACTCATCTGTGGTTCTAACAAACAGACGGTGCATACACACAGGTGATTATACACAGTACAAACACAAAGATGGACGTCCTTTATCCTATGGACACAGGCCTCAGGTCATGAGATGAGAAGATCCACACCCTGGTTATATGTGTGTGTGTCTCCCTCAGTGAAGACAACCAAAGAGCAAGGAGATTGAAGGGATAGATTAACTGTGGCACCGTCCTGTCTGCCTGTCTATCTGTTAGTCTGTTTGTGTTAGCATCCCAGGCTAACAGTAGAACAGTCAACAGTAGCAGTGTCATAGCACCACATGAACACAAAGCGCTAGCTAAAGCGTCTGTGAGATTGTCTGTTGACGCCATCCCTCACAACCCAACAAACTGGTCAGGGACGGTGGATTTTGTCTGTCACCTCGTACCCGGTCGGACAGGATTCCATCGCTAGCTGTCAAATCCAGTTCTGCCCCCCTACCGCGTTTCCTCATTCCAATTGTTAGGCAAGTCTTAGCTCCTTAGGCCTCCCTTGTACGTGCATCACTGTAGCTCAACAATTGGGGTGACGTAGAATGAATCAAGAATGTGGCCTCGACGGCAGACAAACACCTACGTATGTACCTGTTCACTGCCGCCGACCTGTCTCTATGGTCTCTACGCAACCAAAGGACCCAAAACACTGGGACAATAAATGCCTTTATTCTTCGATCAAAACTCGAAGGACCACTTTCCATAATGGGCATTTAGAAGAAAACAAAGGACAAAGCGTGTGACGATCGCTTGCTGACAAATTGGTTTGCATCACCTGACACCTTTGCTGTGATGGCCAAAACACATCCTAACCTTCAGAGCAAGGGAAGGCAGTCTATTTTTGGAAGAGTCTTCAGTCGCATTCACACAGAATGTTTATGGTTCATTTTAAGATGAGGAAGTTGTGATCAGATACACCTAATCCTTCAGAAACACTTGGCATCATCGTCCCAATCATGTGTTGTAGGGAAAAACAATTAGGTTTACAACTATCTTTCCATCTCCCTTCACCTTTTTTCTCTGATTCCTCATACCAAAAGGTATGTTTCCTATACCTCACCTTAGCCTCCTCATTGATGTCCCAGGTGAATGAGACGGCGTTGTAGGAGATCTCCTCAATGTTGCTGATTGTGTTGAAGCTCTCCTTGTAGTCAGCTGGGAACCATGGAACACATAATGGACTGTTAGTACAGTTAGCACTGACATAAGAAGCTCAATGAAGAGGCTGCTAAGATAAGCGCGGCGGTGGCTAAGTTATGAAACTAAGTTGAAGTATGGAGAGGTGGAAGGTTATTTTCATCTTCTTCTTCTACTTATTCTTCTTATTATTATTATTATGACTGGGCTGAATCAAAGGTCTTAGGAGCCTTGCATAAGAATTAAGTGAAGATCAATAGCTTGTATTAGATACAACCATTGAGAATGTGCTCCCACCCTGGTGAGGTCCCATCCCACATCTTAGTTGTTTGATAAACAAACAAGCTTTTTGTCCTCAAAGGTGTGGCTAAAAAAGCATGCTCTGTGGTATTGGTCTCGTAGTCTTGCGTTATTGTACTACCAAGTCTAATCCTTCAGAAACATTTTCACTCTGCCATTTTTTCGGAAATTGAGGTGCTTGTCTCCAAACTTCTGACCAATCCCATCAAATTCCCTTATTAGGCCTATAGCCCTATGCCAGAAACCACACTGTTTTAGTAGGGCACCTCTACGTTGCTGACTGACTACTTTAATCGAAAGCAAGCAGGTTGTCTCAACGCTCACCTTTCTCCCACAGTCCTTCCATCAAAGTCAGACTGCAAGTGAGACAATACACTTTCCTCCGTCAAGCAGAACTGAGTTCACCTTTCACAGTGTGTGCGTGCAGAGTAAGATTGATCAGTCTACCTCCAGAGAATTAAGCTGCTGTATTGTCCCAATAGGGAGCCACCATGGAGCTCAGTTGACACAGGTATCATTAACAAATAGGCAGTGGTGGAAAAAGTACCCAATTGTCATACTTGAGTAAAAGTAAAGATACCTTAATAGAAAATGACTCAAGTAAAAGTGAAAGTCACCCAGTGAAATACTACTTGAGTAAAAGTCTAAAAGTATTTGGTTTTAAATCTACTTAAGTATCAAAAGTAAAGTAATTGCTAAAATATTCTTTATACTAAACAAACCAGACAGCACATTTACGGATAGTCAGGGGCACACTCCAACACTCACACATCATTTACGGATAGTCAGGGGCACACTCCAAAACTCACACATCATTTACGGATAGTCAGGGGCACACTCCAACACTCACACATCATTTACGGATAGTCAGGGGCACACTCCAACACTCACACATCATTTACAAACTAAGCATTTGTGTTTAGAGTCCGCCAGATCAGAGGCAGTAGAGATGACTACTGGCCTTGTCCCATATCCACCCACATTCTCACCCTCCTTCATCCAATCAGGTGTATTGTTATAAAGAGGTTTGTTAAGATTCAACCAATCAGAACCAGGATCAGTTTTTCCTTTTATATCATGAATAGGAGTATATGGACAAGGGGGACCTGATCATCGTAGATCTCCTACTAAGTTATTTATTTAAGGTGGCATAGAGATTTTGGCTCATTGGGTGGGTCTGTCTGCCTGTCTGGCTCCTTGGCTAGCTGGCTGCTTCTCCTTCCAGGTCATGAGACTTGCGCTGAGACAGAGACAGCATGTGACAGGGGGGAGGAAATGGAGGGTGATTGTTGCACAAAAACTCAGGGAACAACAGTGACTCGTGACAGTGCAGGATGGTATGGTAAGAAGAGTGTCAGGTAAATATGATGAACTGCATTCGTCACCATTCTGGCAGGACTTCTGGTGACTTTATGTGACATAAAAACTATGGCCTGATTTAATAAGCGTTTGTAATGTGAAGTTTGCACCCGTTATTTCCTAGAGGTAATAAAACATTTAAGGTTCATGATCAATCTTAAAGGGTAAAGTAATTAATGTTTAGCCAGTTTTTTTTGTCTTCCCTCACTTTAGATAATAACAGTTGAAAACGTGTACTAAATTGTGCTTCGCACAGTAAATTAGGCCTTTAATGTCTCCTTCAAGAGTTTGTGAGGACTAGTGTTCCATGTAGGCTTCAGTAGCATGGGCTCTTACCGATATCAAGACACCTCTGTTTGGCTGTGTGCTGTCTGGAGTGCCAGTACTTCCAGTGCTTCAGCTGGTCATCTCTGCTCTTCTCCTCTCCGAACACCACCATCACCACACTCTGAAATGGTGCACACAATCCCAAGGGACATCAATCGTGCTAGCTTAACTGACACATTCTACTTAACAAGCTCCTACTTGTTAGTACATTAGCTACTATTAGCATAATAGCTACCAACTAGCCTAAGATTTCTCTGTTTATTCTGTCAAAATATTTACCTGAGATATATTTTACATGAGAGACCTAGCCAAATGATCTGCACACAGACAAGGACCAATCTAAGTTCTGTTATTGACCATGAACTACTGTAGAACAACTAGCTAGCTTGGTGGTGTGGTCTTACCCTGACTTTGCTGATGGGGTGGTGCAGCTTGCTGTTGTCCATCTCCCTGAGGCTGATGGGGTAGAACTGGCCCTTGTTCAGGTACGTCATGGTACCGTCACCTGTCTTCTGACGCAGCGACTTGGACGCCTCCAGGGTGTACTGAAAATTATTCCTAATCGGGAAATAAATAGTGACAAAACTATAGTAGGCTACATTTGTATTTTCCTTTAGGGAAAGCCTGAAATCCAGACCTGCTTTGTGCTGACATTCCACTCCTTGTACTCCGTGTCATATGTTTGGCACAAAACAGGTCTGGATTTCAGGCTAGGGAAAGAGTAGGCCTAGACATTAATACAGTTATGTATCTAGTATTCAGCTGGTGTTTATCTGGTATATATCTTTATTCTAAACAATCTATCTATACATGTTTTCAGTATCTATGAATATACTGTATGTAAATATTGATATTCTTGTCGATATATATTTTCCACCTCTAAAATACATTGCAAATGTCACCCCTTGAATAGGACCACCCTCATCAGTCCCTTCCCATTGGTTTGATTATGACCCAAAATCCTCATAGTGTCACTGAGTCCCTGATAACATTATGTTTGGCATTGTAGCTTTTAAACTGAGGGAATCTGCTGACCCCCAGGTGACTGTAGTGAATAAGGTTATTCTCTGGAATCTCCTATCAGGGGCTGAATGGCGGTGTGCAAGCGACAGCGGGCGGCCGCCAGGCTGGAGGGCTTACCCCGGCACGGTGTCAAACACGCTGTATTCCTCTGCCGAGATGGAGGCCATGCGTAACTGGAGATCCCCTGGGAAGGAGAACACCTGTGGCACACAAAGAGGACAGAGAAAGAGGACAGAGAAAGAGGACAGATAAAGAGGAGAGAGGGGCTGGATTTAGACAAGCATCCATGATGAGGGTTGTAGCTAGCGCTCTCAGAGGTTACAGGGAGTAAAGGGAGCCCTCTCTCTCTCGCTCTTAGTGTTTCTCTCTTTCTTACACTCTCTCGCTGCATCTTTACCATTCTTTTTCTCTGTTACACTCTCTCGCTCCCTCTCTGAAGTGGAAACAAACCACTTCTCATCCTTCCCTCCTTCTCTCCTTCCCTCGCTCCTTCCTCTGCTCCCTGTGTGAAGGGGGTTGTGTTGGGTTATCCCTTTCCAAGGTAATCCCCCTCCAGGTTAAATGGAGAGAGAGAGAGAAAGGCCTGGGCTATTGTAGGTGGGAAATAGTACAGCACTTTATTGTGTGAGCTAGACAATGGCATAATAACACGCTGGTCTGCTATTTTGGAATGTTCAAATAAAAACAGGGAGGGCTGAGACCCACTGTTATAAGCTCCAGAGGCTCAGGTGAAAGGGGTATTGTCTGACGGGAGAGAGAGATCTGAGAGTGGGGGTGTGGAGGAGGGTGGTGGGGGTTTTAGACTAGAGAAGAGGCTATTGGATCCCTGTTGTTGTGTCCACACCTCTTGGGAACCATCCTTGTAGGTCTCTGGGAAGGTGGAGTCGGGGGTACGAGGCTGGGTGCTAGGGCTGAACTGGCTGTGTGTGAGCTGTCTGGCGAAATCCGCCGTGTGGCTGTCGCTCTCGGCTCGGTGGTAGGGCACCATGACAGAGAAGCTATGGGAGGGCACCTCCATCTTGACGTTGGGGTAGTTGGGGACGGCGGCGATAGAGACGGTGACAGTGGTGTCCGGGGAGGGGATAAGGACCCCTCTCTTGTTGTCCTGGCCAGGCAGCTGGTTGGGCAGCAGGATGTTGATGGGGCCCTTCATGAACTGGATCCTGCTCTCTGCTGATGCCATGGAAGCTTCCTGCAAGGGGGCCATCAAGTGCCTGAAAAAAATAAAAATAAACACGGTGGGTAAAATGTCAGTTTATGATGAAATATCACAAGGACCAAACATAGACGGTGTGGTGAGGTGTGGTGAGGTGTAGTGAGGTGTGGTGTAGTGAGGCAAGGTGAGGTGTGGTGTGGTGAGGTGAGGCGAGGTGAGGTGTGGTGTGGTGTAATCTGCCCTCCCCAGTGGTTTGTAAAGGGATGTTATACCTACATGGACCTTTTGTTGGGATCCACATCAGAGCCCATTGACTCTGTCTTGGTCTGGGATATTGTTCTCGTCTCTCTGGGCACCTGCATGGGAAGGTAAACACAGCCGCTGTGATTCTGACCACATCCAATAGAACCATGTCTACACTACCGGTCAAAAGTTTTAGAACACCTACTCATTCAAGGGTTTTTCTTTATTTTTACTATGTTCTACATTGTAGAATAATAGTGAAGACATCAAAACAATGAAATAACACATATGGAATCATGTAGTGACCAAAAAATTGTTCAACAAATCCAAATATATTTTATATTTGAGATTCTTCAAATAGTCACCCTTTGCCTTGATGACAGCTTTGCACACTCTTGGCATTCTCTAAACCAGCTTCACCTGGAATGCTTGAGCACTTGTTGGCTGCTTTTCCTTCACTCTGCCGTCCGACTCATCCCAAACCATCTCAATTTGGTTGAGGTTGGGGGATTGTGGAGGCCAGGTCATCTGATGCAGCACTCCATCACTCTCCTTCTTGGTAAAATAGCCCTTACACAGCCTGGAGGTGTGTTTGGTCATTGTGCTATTGAAAAACAAATTATAGTCCCACTAAGCGCAAACCAGATGGGATGGGCTATCGCTGCAGAATGCTGTGGTAGCCATGCTGGTTAAGTGTGCCTTGAATTCTAAATAAATCACAGAGAGTGTCACCAGCAAAGCACCCCCACACCATAACACCTCCTCCTCCATGCTTTACGATGGGAACTACACATGCGGAGGTCATCCGTTCACCCACACAACATCTCCCAAAGATACGGCGGTTGGAACCAAAAATCTTCAATTTGGACTCCAGACCAAAGGACACATTTCCACCGGTCAAATTTCCATTGCTCGTGTTTCTTGGCCCAAGCAAGTCTCTCTTCTTCTTATTGGTGTCCTTAATTAGTGGTTTCTTTGCAGCAATTCGACCATGAAGGCCTGATTCATACACTCCCCTCTGAACAGTTGATGTTGAGATGTGTCTGTTACTTGAACTCTGTGAAGCATTTATTTGGGATGCAATTTCTGAGGCTGGTAACTCCAATGAACTTATCCTCTGCAGCAGAGGTAACTCTGGGTCTTCCATTCCTGTGGCGGTCCTCATGAGAGCCAGTTTCATCATAGCGCTTGATGATTTTTGCGACTGCACTTTAAGAAACTTAAAAAGTTATTGTAATTTTCCGTATTGACTGACCTTCATGTATTAAAGTAATGATGGACTGTCGTTTCTCTTTGCTTATTTGAGCTGTTCTTGCCATAATATGGACTTGGTATTTTACCAAATAGGGCCATCTTCTATATACCCTCCCCTACCTTGTCACAACACAACTGATTGGCTCAAATGTATTAAGAAGGAAAGAAATTTCCACAAATTAACTTTTAAGAAGGCACACCTGTTAATTGAAATGCATTCCAGGTGACTACCTCATGAAGCTGGTTGAGAGAATGCCAAGAGTGTGCAAAGCTGTCATCAAGGCAAATGGTGGCTATTTGAAGCACTTTTTTGGTTACTACATGATTCCATATGTGTTATTTCGTAGTTCTGATGTCTTCACTATTATTCTACAATGTCGAAAATAGTAAAAATAAAGCAAAACCCTTGAATGAGTAGGTGTTCTAAAACTTTTGACCGGTAGTGTACATAGACAACTCTATTAGTTGTTGCTGCTTCACAGATGCAGGTAGTAAAGCTAATTCAGTCATGACTAAGAGGCAATAGTACTAAGACCTCACAGCTATTACTTCAATGAGTTTCTCCAACGTGGTTTATCTCTATGGCTCGGATTGTTGTGGTATGGTGTCGTAATAACTGTGGGAATAACATGGCTCCTGTATCAGTAATAGCATGGCTCCTGTATCAGTAATAACTGTGGGAATAACATGGCTCCTGTATCAGTAATAACTGTGGGAATAACATGGCTCCTGTATCAGTAATAACTGTGGGAATAACATGGCTCCTGTATCAGTAATAACTGTGGAAATAACATGGCTCCTGTATCAGTAATAACTGTGGGAATAACATGGCTCCTGTATCAGTAATAACTGTGGGAATAACATGGCTCCTGTATCAGTAATAACTGTGGGTGAACATGGCTCCTGTATCAGTAATAACTGTGGGAATAACATGGCTCCTGTATCAGTAATAACTGTGGGTGAACATGGCTCCTGTATCAGTAATAACTGTGGGTGAACATGGCTCCTGTATCAGTAATAACTGTGGGAATAACATGCCTCCTGTATCAGTAATAACTGCAGAGGTTGTGTTGCTACTAGAGTAGCAGGCCTAGTCTATAAGGCTTGGCATGTTGTGGTACCTCAACAGTGTCATGACACCTATGGGTGAGCACAGCTCCAGTACCAGTAATGACTCAACTGATTCCTGTTTTTTTAGGCCACCTTGTAGTAGTCGTACCAGCCTGTAGTCAACCAGCCTGGGTCCTGTACTCATACCAGCCTGTATTCGACCAGCCTGGGTCCTGTGTTACCTTATAGTAGTCGTACCAGCCTGTAGTCAACCAGCCTGGGTCCTGTACTCATACCAGCCTGTATTCGACCAGCCTGGGTCCTGTGTTACCTTGTAGCAGTCGTAACAGCCTGTATTCGACCAGCCTGGGTCCTGTGTTACCTTGTAGTAGTCGTAGAGCAGGCCCAGGGCGGCGGCGCTGTCCTCGTCCCCGTTGATGCTCATCATTGCCTTGGTGGCGGCCGTCAGGGGGTTCTCCAGGAACGACTTCCACGCCTCGTCTTCGTTGGTGTAGGGCCGACGCTGACCATAGCTGGGCTCATTCTGCAACACCAGGACCGGCCTCTTACTGGGGAGGGGAAGACAGAGAAGGGAGAAGAGACGGAGAAAAAGAGAGAGAGAGAGAGAGAGAGACGTTAGCAGGAGTGCAGTGACAAATGTCATGAAGGAAAGTAACGTGATAGCTGGATACAGTATATGTCAAAACCAGGATCTGCATAATTATAAGCTACACACAAAAGACAGACTGAGTTATAAATATTTAGTTAATATGGCCCTGATTCTCTAACTGGTTCACTTCAGATTTAGACAGGGAGTCACTCACATCAGATGGATAGGCCAGACTGACAGCACGTAAATCAACAGACGGTCAGAGCAACAATCACTGCATTGTTCACAACCGACTAACAGGTTGGCGAGATCAACAATGTCATTCTTTATCTTTCAGACGTGTAGTTTTATTTTTAAAGAACCTGTTTGGAACAATCATCGTCATCATCATAATCATAGGCCCTTAACTGACTTTGGCCTCTCTGTACTTTATCAGACAGTCAGGGCCGATTAGATACTTGGAACAAAACTGTATCTACCTTGAGAACATAGGCGTGAGCATACAGGATGAGTGATTCTATTAGAGAAAGGGACCATTATTACAATATATACATTTTTGGTACTTACAGTAAGCCTATGAGTAATTTTTACCAAGTTTTATTTCATAGAATGTGAGAGGGTGTTACAAAGAACACAAGCCCTACATTATTGAACAATGAGATTGTAGTATTTCAGTGAATTGAATATAGACTAACATGTATGGTGTAATTATATGTTATATACATGTGTATGATGATCACACAATTATTGTTTTAATAAATTGCCTTTATTTTTAACTGAATTATTTTACAGTCACAAACAGAGCCTTTGAGATTTTATTTTAGAACAATATTTAAAGTGCAAACAATGACGACATTTTAGACATAAAGGCTAGACTAGGCTTATTTCTTTCATTCCTTAAATATATTGTCTTAAATGAACAAACAAAACGCTATAGAGGCTAGTGTGAGATAAGAGACATATAGCTTTTCTATCCTCAATTCAGACAAAAGCATCTCCAGAGTGGCACAAACAGAATGTATGGATTTATATCCTCTGGTTTCCAAGCTATAGTTGCTACAGCAAATGATTTTATTCGATATGGTCAAGGCAAACTTATTATTAGTAATCCAATATCCAATTGTTTCACTCACAAAATGTTTCCCGGGTCGAATTGGGGCGTAAGGGATTTGCAACCCGATAGATCCGTTATTCACTGGCAAAAAAAAAAAAACGTAGAGGATATGCAATCCACTGTAAAACAAAAGAGGATAGCTAAAAGTTTTCCATGTGGAAAAAAAGCATTAAATTGGATACTGAAAAAAATATCTTAACCTAAATTGTTTTTCCTGAAAGGTTGAAGAGAGAGAAACCCATTTGATCTCACACCGTATTTTGATCTCACGGGAAATAGGCTGGCCTATGCAGTAGGGCCTAAATTACACATTACAAAATTGGGAATTATGAGATTAAGAAAAGAAAAAGCTCGTATTTATCCATGTAGGACTATTTTTCTTTAACAAGGGCCTATTTGTGAATATCAAAATATTCACAAATATTTTCTTAATAATAAAATTTAATATTGACTATCTCAATCAATTAAATAATTCTGTCAACATTAATTATTCGTCCAGTGACTATATGTCTACAATACAACGGAGAAAATCTTGCTTACATTGTTCCTCTGACTAAAGGGGCCAACGCCTAAAAGGTGTACGATTTCACTGGAGTCAACAGTCTCCTTGTCATTCCCTCAGAAACGGACAAAATACATTCACACATTACCACTCTGGAGCAAAGATAAAAAACCATACTAAAAAGAATTATGAATCTTTTTTCGATTAAAATTACATGTTCGATTAGAAATGCCATTACAACCATGGATTAGGGCAGTGGTTCCCAACTCCGGTCCTCGAGAACCCCCACAGCACACATTTTTGTTGTAGCCCCAGCACCTGATTCAACTCATTAAGGGCCTGATGATTAGTTGACAAGTTGAATCAGGTGTGCTTGTCCTGGGCTACAATAAAAATTGTACTGTTGGGTGTAGTTGGGGGGGGGGTTAAGACGAATATCTTCGACAAACAAAATAAAGTCTAACCAAATAACTGTGAGCCAAATCAAATAATGAACCGCCCATCAATAACACACTGGTTGGCAGAACGTTACTCGGAACAGGCGCCTGAACTAGCACGACAGGTGGAGAGATAGCCAACACACCTGTGCCGTGCAGGCTGGAACCCGACCAGAGAAACAGCGCTTGTAGCTGCTATAAGCCCCAAACGGCGCTTTCACTGATCCTAAGCACGATAAATAGAGATTGAATCACTAAGTACAATAAATAAGGAGATTGAATCATAGTCGTTTTGCCAGGCAGGCAAAAAGTCAACTTTCCCACAGTCCAGGAAACTCCGTTAGAATCCACCTGCGCAGGTAACCCCCCCAAAAAAAGTCAAATATCGACGGGTCATTTTGCACCAAAGTTCAGTAAACTGTTAGAACTCTCAACACATTGATTTGGTTCTGCTGGACTTGCAGTGCTGACTGAAAACACTTACTTGTCATGATCCTGTGACATCTCGGTTGGTGGAACTGGACTTTCTAGTTGGTACTGTAAATCCGATCTGTCTACTTTCCCCAGAAAAACTCAAGCAAGATGAGGGCCACAGCAAAGGTGTCTCTGAACGAACGGGTTTTGTCGGATTTTGGAGTATAGCGTGAGAATATGTGGCCGGTTTTACCTGTGACAGGGCATCGGATTGGATTAGGCTACAACGCGGTAAGGGGCGGAGCCCAATAAGTCAATAACATGTGTTGGTACTTTGTATTGGTCTACCTGTGGGCTTGGTTAGGAGCCAGAGCATGAGCCAATGAGGATGACAGTGACATGGGACTGTGACAGAATTAAGGTTAACCTAATGTAGCAGGCGTAAAAACCGTGTCCCACGCTGCATGCAGTGATTTTTGTGTTCTACTATCACAAATTGTACTATTGTTAAGGGTAAGAAAATGTAAATAATTATTAGGCTAATCATTTTGAATCCACCTGTTGCACTTTGTGTGGTCATAAAAGTCTGTGTGCGACTGGGCACAGTAAAATCATTTGGTTGCTAAAATTACTGTATTTCCCTTAGAAGGCCCTTCACCATAGAAATATATATAACAACTATTGTGATGCATAATTGCCATGGTAATTTGGAATGTCCAGTCAATTAGCATTTTGGTTATGGTAGTAGTCATTCTACAGATTCAAAATGGGCCTAGCAACGTTTGCATTATGACAGCTGAATCTGCCACAGTAAATCTGTCATTCCAAACACAAAAACCGGGGGGGGAAATCCAAATCAAAACACAGCAGAATATAAAGTGTCCAGTGGCATGTAAGAGGACGACGCGCTTCTTTTGATCCTAAAATGTAACAATTTTAGTACTCATCACTGCATTCTCTACCAGAAAGTTGGTTGGCCCTCTTTCATGTCACGTAGGTTGATAATTGCTATGTTTTCATTTATAAAGCCCTTTTACAAAAAGTCCCACTGTACATAATAGACATACGAGTTACCACACCCGGTCTCAGGGATGGTTAATTCTGTAAATTCCTTTGGTCTTTACGGAGTTAGGTAAATCAGCTTTTAGTTTTGTTGCACCTTGTTTGTGGAACAATCTTCAACATGTTCTTACATTTGATGTTTTGGTGCCTCTAGGGCAATTCAAAAAGCTGATTGAGGACCTTATTACTGATGAATGTGTTTATTTTTTATGACCATGTTTTTCTTTCTACTTGCATTTTGTATTTATATTGATGTGTGTATTTTCTGTCATTTATGTAATTTAGTGCTCATCTGTAAAAGCAGCTGATATGCTTACTGTATTATAATATAGATGATTTATCGTTTATAATGGTTGGATCGTGAAATTATCCTATAAACGTTATAAACTAATAGCCTATTGAATTTATATTCCCGTGGCTATGCTCTTCCTTAGTTGTCTGTCAATGTTGTGCAATGTTATATCTATAGTTATTTGCCTATAATGGTTGGAATCCAACCGTTGGATCAAGAAATGATAGGCCTATGCTGCAAATGAGCTCAAACTAAACCATAATGGTGCAATCCATCTGACTTGACTTTTGATGATTGAATGTGTCAATGTTTTAAATATTGTTTGAATGTATTTATTTGTTAGGGACTGATAGGCCTACAATTATTCAATGTTTTAATTGTATATATCCCTAACATATTAGGCTGTTATCTACTTATTCATTATTAACTCTACTGCCTAAAACTCTTATAAAACATCTAATAATAAAAAGTCATAACAGTTTTAGTTGAAAGCCCATCTTTTATTTAAGCAGACTTTAACATCTCTACACTACCAGGGGTCGGTCGGGAGAACCAGAACGGGGCAGTTAGGTCAGGTAGGTTACCCCGCCTGTCTAACGCCTCCTGCGGCCTCCTCTCCTGCGACGCCGGGCCCTGGGGCGGCGGCGCCTGCGGACAGGGCGGCTGGATCGTCTGCGTCTTCTGGCCATTGTGATTGATAGATAAGACTATGAATGATTTTTAGACGGGTGGCGTCCCTTTTAATATGGCTGGAGGGTGCGGGAGTGACGTCATCATGGGATAAATGATGATGCAATAATGACAGTTAGAATTTTTAAAACTATTGTCTTCAGTGAGGTCATAGTAGCATTGCCAGGATGACGCAACAGTGATATTTTTGATTTAGCAAATTTAAACAGCATTCCGTTTCTTTGGCCTACTCAATGAAACCTGGTACAAGTAATCACTCAGGGCTTTATTTAATAATACTTTGGAATGTCAAGGCAATGAGCATTATGGGTACAAATCACAGCGGAATATAAAGTGGCCAGCCTGGTGTAAGAGGATGACGCACTTCTTTTCAGCATAAAATTAAGAAAATCAGCACACAATTGTAAAAGGTGATCCTCCCACAGCTTAGAATGCTTAGCATATTATAATAGGCTATAGATAAATGCCACATGAGCTTAGTTCAATTGTTGTACCCAATCAGAACCCAAAATATAAGCTTGTTTTAGTCCAATGTTTGTAAACAATGTAAATGTCAACATACACTGTATAGCGTCAAAACATGGGGCTCTATTCAATCCGTATTGCGGAAGTTCAGCGTTATAGCGTATTTCAAATGCAAAGGCAATGTTCCTGAGACTGTAAACGCTGCATGCCTGCTCAATCGAAAATAACCTTTAAATGTATATCACACAATCTGTAATGCTTTAGCAATACAGATTGAATAGAGCCCATGCTTAAAACTATAATTTTGATATCATGAATGGCCAGTCCTTGCATCCATAGCTCTGTCTATGAATTTGAGAGTGGTTACATTTCTCCAGGCCCATCCCTCAGCTTTTTACCAAAACAGAAGCGGGTTATCAATTTTGTTATTGTTAAAACTAAGGACTGTATAAGATAACCATCAACCTATAGAACAACTGGATGATGCTACCAATATAACCACTTAATTAGATTCCATGTTTATGTTTATATTGTGATTGATTGCTTTAACAATTGCAGGCAAGTTAAAGGCAAATCAGATTGTCTGGGGTCAAGCTCTCCAATGGCATGGATGGTGATGGGATATTTAGCAATTACCCAAAAATCTAATGGGAATTTGGGAGGGAGAGTTTGAGAGAAAACCCAGAAGTCTTGTGATTTATAAACAATAAACCAATACTTCCATTTATACCACTGTTGTAACAATGAATGCCTGTTATTTGGGTTTTTATTACTTTTATAATGGCCCATTATATTCCTGGTCCAACACAAAGTAATGAAATGTAAAGTGTTACTTAACCGTTTGCATGTCTTGATAACATGACAACTATCCACCATGTTGGCTCCATGCAGTATGGAATTTACATGGACTTCCACAGAGAGAACATATTTGTCCCCTAATCTTTAATACCCAGCTTTTACTCAGATCAAAGTTAAAAAGAAACACACAGAGGGAAAATAAACAGCAGTTCTTCTTAGACTGAGGAGCTTTGGAGATGCTATCAGCAAGATGCAAAGTTTATCCCAACGTGCTGATAGAGCCCCCCCCCCCCCATACACACACCTACATGCACACACACGTCCTGTTTTATTGTTGATCTATCCCGTTGGAAGGGCACCTGTCCTGCTTTTCCTGGGAGCTGTGTTTTTGTTTGCAATAGGGACATGTAGAGCCAGAGGGTAGGGATACAGGCAGGGAGGGGGTAGGGATACAGGCAGGGAGGGGGTAGGGATACAGGCAGGGAGGGGGTAGGGATACAGGCAGGGAGGGAGTTTGGGATACAGGCATGGAGGGGGTAGGGATACAGGCAGGTGAGGGGGTAGGGATACAGGCAGGGAGGGGGTAGGGATACAGGCAGGGAGGGGGTAGGGATACAGGCAGGGAGGGGGTAGGGATACAGGCAGGGAGGGAGTTGGGATACAGGCAGGGAGGGAGTTGGGATACAGGCAGGGAGGGGGTAGGGATACAGGCAGGGAGGGGGTGGGATACAGGCAGGGAGGGGGTAGGATACAGGCAGGGGGGGGGTAGGAGGGATAGGATACAGGCAGGGAGGGGGTAGGGATACAGGCAGGGGGGGGGTAGGGATACAGGCAGGGAGGGGGTAGGTATACAGGCAGGAGGGTAGGGATACAGGCAGGGAGGGGGTAGGATACAGCAGGGAGGGAGTTGGGATACAGGCAGGGAGGGGGTAGGGATACAGCAGGAGGGAGTAGGGCTACAGGCAGGGGGGGGTAGGATACAGGCAAGGAGGGGGTAGGGATACAGGCAGGGAGGGGGTGGGATACAGGCAGGGAGGGGGTAGGGATACAGGCAGGGAGGGGTAGGGATACGGCAGGAGGGAGTTGGGATACAGGCAGGGAGGGGTGGGATACAGGCAGGAGGGGTAGGGATACAGGCAGGGAGGGATTTGGGATACGGCAGGGAGGGATTGGGATAAGGCAGGGAGGGTTGGGATACAGGCAGGGAGGGGGTAGGGATACAGGCAGGGAGGGGGTAGGGATACAGGCAGGGAGGGGGTAGGGATACAGGCAGGGAGGAGTTGGGATACAGGCAGGGAGGGGGTAGGGATACAGGAAGGGAGGGGTAGGGATACAGGCAGGGAGGGAGTGGGATACAGGCAGGGAGGGAGTTGGGATACTGGCAGGGAGGGGTTGGGATACAGGCAGGGAGGGAGTTGGGATACAGGCAGGGAGGGAGTTGGGATACAGGCAGGGAGGGAGTTGGGATACAGGCAGGGAGGGGGTAGGGATACAGGCAGGGGGGTAGTTGGATACAGGCAGGGAGGGAGTTGGGATACAGGCAGGGAGGGGTAGGGATACAGGCAGGGAGGGAGTTGGGATACAGGCAGGGAGGGAGTTGGGATACAGGCAGGAAGGGGGTAGGGATACAGGCAGGGAGGGAGTTGGGATACAGGCAGGGAGGGAGTTGGGATACAGGCAGGGAGGGAGTTGGGATACAGGCAGGGAGGGGTAGGGATACAGGCAGGGAAGGGGTAGGGATACAGCAGGGAGGGTAGGAGGGATACAGCAGGGAGGGTTGGGATACAGGTAGGGAGGGGTAGGGATACAGGCAGGGAGGGGGTAGGGATACAGGCAGGGAGGGGTGGTACAGGCAGGGAGGGATCGGGACAGGCAGGGAGGGAGTTGGGATACAGGCATGGAGGGGGTAGGG